CCAAACTATGAGAACTTCAAGTTCAACTTTGTTGTGTGACAAGTACAATGTAAGCCAAGTCACAAACCAGCACACTACAATAGGAATAGAAAACAAATCCAGTTGCCAAGACCTTGAGGGCACGTTAACAAATAAGAACAGTTAGTAACAGCATTTGAGCACTTATAATGTGGATCAACATATTATCCACCAAACATGTTTTTTTATTCACTGTGTCATTGAAATGTCATTTGTAAGCAAATCTCGATAACTGTGGTTAGCTTCAGATAATCCATTCTATTTCTCTTTGTTGAAGGGTAAAATGGAAGGTATAAGAAATGGAAGTGAAAAATGTAAATGAAATGCACATTGATAATGCAGGACAAAACTAGCTGAAAATTGTATTGAATAAAAATGATAATTGTGTGTCCATCCGTTCACCTTTACATCAATATATAATGCAGGTAGGAATGATCTAGAATCATTATAAGGATAACAGATTTGGCAGGGAAATGAAAAAAGAATAAAAACTATCTAACAAAATTTACAGCAAAGCAAAAAACAGAAAAGGAATGGCTTCCATGTGCATCTTCTTGAATGGACGTTTTTACCCTTCTCTTTGCTGATCATCAGGTTACTCATTCTTCCTTCATTTGTGCTTCTCATTTCAATACTCCCCCACAAGATGGAGAGTGGATATCTACAACTCCCATCTTGTCCATATGTTGATAAAACTGTGATGAGTTTAATGATTTTGTTAAGATGTTAACAATTTGGTAGCTACTACTAAGGTGCTTGGTAACCACATTCCCTTATTGGATCTTATCTCTTATTAAGTGGCATCCAGCTCAATATGTTTAGTCCTTTCATGGAAAACTGGGTTTGCCGTTATGTGAGGAGCAGATTTATTGTCACAGTACAGGTTAGCTGCTTGCGGATGTTCAATTTTCAAATCCTTGAATAAGTACCTAAGCCAAGTAAGTTCACAGCAAGCATTTTCCATTGCCCTATATTCCGCTTCCGTTGAAGACATCGACATCGTATTTTGCTTCTTTGATTTCCATGATATCAATGACTTTCCAAGCATTACACAATATCCTGTGGTGCTCCTTCGTGTATCCGGGCAAGCTCCCTAGTCCGAATTACAAAAGGCATTAAGTTGTAGTTCTTAATTGGTAGGAAATAGCAACCCTTGCCATGGAGATCCCTTTATGTACCTCAATACTTTATTGGCAGCCTTTAAATGTGACGTTCGAGGGTCATTCATGAATTGGCTTAGTAGTTGTACTGAGTATGATAGGTCTGGTCTTGTGATTGTTAAATATAGCAACCTCCCAACAAGTCTCCTATACATAGTAGGATCAGTAAGGCTTTCTTCATCTGTCTTGGACAATCTCATGTTCTGATCTAAAGGAATTTTTGTTGGCACGCACCCTATTGTTCCTGAGTCTGATAAAATATCCAGCACATACTTTCGTTGATTGATGTGAATCTTTATCAGACATTGCCACTTCAATTCCCAAAAAATACTTCAGTGTCCCCAAGTCTTTGATCTTGAATCTGTCATCAAGTAGGCCTTTAAGTGAGTTGATGCTGCCCATATCATTGCTGGCTATAATTGTATCGCCCACATAGACAAGGATGGCAGTGAACGAGCTCTTATCAACTCTTGTAAATAGGCTGTAATCTAC